CACGCGCACACACACACGATGCGCAAAACTCTGCATTTGAACAGTCAATAGCAAATACTTAAATTAATAACAAAACAGTAGCTGATTTAGAAGTGCCAGATTGTCATGGTAAAGTCAGAATGACCTCCTCTCCTAGGTTCATGAAACGGTCGTCCATAAAATGCATTGCTGTTCTGTTGTAAGTAATCGTAAAGATTCCTAAATGCATCTACTTTCAGAAACACACAGTATTGCTTTCGCCTAGAAACACACAGTGTCTCCCTGACATGGCTGCTTCAACACTAACTGCGGTTACTGAAACCACGCCGCCTTTCTTTGCGTGCACATTTTGGGCGGCATTATGCTAATATTCCCACATAGTGAGGTAGATATGTGGGGGCGTGTTAGAACGAGCCGTTTTAGGGGGGCGTGGCAGAGTCTTAACTTTGATAAAGAATATCTCTTTGGTTTTGAGACTTTAGTCTTTGCAACTTCAGGGATCTTATCTATGCACAATCAGCTTGTAACACTCCAAAGAGAAAGGAAAACTTGAAATCGCATCATATGACCCCTTTAAACAAATGTGGTGCGCCTGCGCAAACAGCGCTCTGAACCGACCAGTTTACTCATGTCAAAGTAGGGGATGTTAGGTGTTATAATGAAACGATTCAAATGTATTGCTAAAAAAGTCAACTTTTGAAAAAAGACACATAGGCTAGAAGTCTGAGATACATCGTAGTCTAATATAGATGAATATTTTAAACTTACTGCTCGTTGCGTAAATTAGAAAAATACCAATCATAAAGATGTCAAATGATAGTATTGAAATCCAAAAATAAAGAAGTTTATAAGCGGTGCACCTGCACTAGCAATGCAGAGTGAAATGGGTAGTAAACTTCCAGCAGGGGTCAGTATTACATCTAGTCACTTGCGATAAGGCTCATGTTCCCAAAACACACAATCCAGACATGTGGCAATTTCCGTCCTCAAAATGCATTTTTCAGTATCCGTATCTAACGACACGCTTAAATTAGCAATATAAAATCAACATTCACATCACACCATCACCACATTTCTATGCATCAAGCTGACTGTATAGGGATTAATACTCTTTATGTATTAGCATTGATGAGATTGAAATGAATAGAAGTGAAGGGCCTGTTTCAGAGCTGCAGACACGGGTTGTCGTTTATCGCCTGCCACACTTTTTTTATACTGCAGACTGGTTCTCAGGACAAAGTGAGAAGCACATAGCCTGTCAATGTCAAAATATCTCATCTGTGGTAATGAAACAGTCGTGATGAAATCCTAACAGGAGCTCGCAGCTTGCCTGCCTGGCCTCTGATAGCTACCTAGGAATTCTATCAAAAATACAATGAATTGAAAACTCACATCAGTACAAGGTAACAAAAAACCTGTTAGTGTGTTAGTGCTGATGTCTGGAACACAATAAATGCAGTTGAGTAAATAGATACAAAATACATTAGTGCTGCTCAAGTGTTAATATCTTTTTTTAATGTGTGTGGATATATAATGTGGATAGCCTATATATATTTGAAACCAAATCTGGCAGTAAAATGTGTACCAATCCCAAAGAAAACCCCAATAAGGAAGAAATGACAAGACACAGGACAAAATAAATCACAAAATGGTGATTCTCCATTAGTTTATATAGCAGTTGCAACCTGGCTTTAAAAAGGTTCACAATTCTCTCAAACACTTTGTCTAGCAACAGGAAAAAAAAGTTTTACTTACATCTTCAATACAGGTTGTCTGATATGTCTACTTTTTCACAGATATTTTGCTTGTTCTCAGACATTAACTATCGATGGTGCTGAAGATATGTGAGTTTGGGGATCATCCTGAATCCTGGCATCTGACAATTACCTCTAAGTGTAAAATGACATGAAGGGAAGACCAGGGCCTGCTTCACACCTTCCTGAAATCTGATAGACTTGATGCTTAAGGTTTGAAAATTACAAAAATGATAAGGTATTGTCATTCTTTGTTCTCCGTTCAGTCAATAGAGGAATGTTCACCCATCTTCTCCTGCAATAAGATGACCTGAGATAAGGTATATGCAATTACCTAAGAGAAAAAAATGGAAATCAAGAGGTGCATCTATACGCACAGCTCTCCTTCTAGAGCATAGGTTGTGTAGGATTCAAAGCTATTAATTTTAGTGGCATCCATTTGACTAAGGACATAAAACTTTCAAAACAAAATTCAAAACATATTAATAAAAGGTAGCAATATAGGCCTAAAGGTATTCGAGCATCGTTTTAGCACCTTTTCAATTCAATATTAGAAGCTTCATCACATCAGCCCTCACTGAGCCCTGGTCTCGCCTGTTTTACACAGCAAACAACATGACAATAGGAGGTCAACATCTGGATTAGAAATTAAAGTGAACAAAACCCTATGCTTTTTTTAACTAGCATTTTTTCCTTGCAATGTTTCTGCGTTAGGTGACATCCACATCTGCACATAAAAAGTATATATATTTTGTATTTATATAATATATATCCATAATCTATTGACAGATCTGTCTACGATGAGCTTAAGAACCACTGATTTTCTGGAAGAAAAAAGCTGATTTTGTAAATGTCTATTTTACAACACAGCGTCAACTAATTGTACATCTTTGGAGGGGAAGTAGCTGTCAAAAACCGTGTCCCTCCTTTTCTCGTTACAGTGTGAATGCTGTCAAAACACAGTTTTTAAAAAAAGCATTTACAAACGGGCATTGACAGAACCAGTGACTTGTCGTTAAATGTAATTTCAACAGCACCCCTTGGGTCAGGGATTACCACGTTTGGCACATAACTAAGCACAGATCACTCAATGGTTTGTGGAATGACCAGTCTTCATGTTAGTTCAGTTGGGAAAAAAAGAGAAAAAAACTGACAGATAGGCCTGAAAATGTTCTTTATATTGGTGGTAAACTCTGTCCAGGCAGTGATGCTCTGTCTTCTGTTAAAAGTAGTTTCCTCGCATAGAAAAATGGGGGGGGGGGGACACATTAAATCAAACGACACTTCTGAATATGCTTTCTGCTGCATTTCTTACCCATCGAACATGACGCTGGAGTTCAGTGAGTGTATTTTCCTCTCTTTTAAAATACAGGAAAATAAAATTATATATTGAGCCACATGGGAGGACACAGTAGTCTCTGCGTAATATACACAATGCACCTTGTATCTACATCTGTAATATACAACAAGTACTTTACACCGGACTTAAGAAGTTAAAAAGGAGGTACAAAAACAAGCAAATAATAAAAAGAAACCGAAAAAAGATAGAAAGGCGAAGAGTGTAACGGATCACTCCATAAAAAGCATGGTTTAACAAAGAAATGTCAAAAATGTGTGAAAACTACTTCCTTAGCTTGTGTCAAATGTCGTTTTCTTGTGCTTCACGTAACTGTCCCATCTCCATGCCACATATCTTCCGCTTTCTCATTTACATGTCGATTCCCTCCACCGCTTTGCAAAAACACCAAAGTTGAAGTGGTCTTTTCTGTAAAACACATGAGCTTCATTCCTAAATCCTATCTCTTCAAGCACTTTCCTAACCTCGCTCATCGGCCGAGTGGCAGCCCACTGTGGTGCGAGCAGTGAACCGAACAGAAGGTTTACGTGTGTGAGATGTCTACTAGTGTTCATGCACATGCTGGGCTGGTCCCTATGTAATGGTGTCCATAGGCCAGCCTCCAGCCTGCCTCTGTGCTTCTACACCCAGGAGTCCGGCGAGGCAGGGTAGTGGCTTGTCTCATAGTTCAGTTCACTGTACGGGCGGGATGCCGAATAAAAGTCCACGTAGTTCCCCGTGGACTTCAGTCCCAGATGCATGGTGCCGTCAGCGGCGGGTGGGGGGCGTGTATGCGCTTGGTCCTCGTAGTACGGCTCCTCGAAGTTGGCTCCTGGGGGAGTCTGGAAGGGAGGGTAGGCCTCTGGAAGGTTGCCTTGAGCCGAGACCTGACGAAAACAATGAGAGCGTAAGGGCTGCTTTGGGAAGTGACATAAATGTGTTATGTGGTAGTTCAGAAACGAAGAATCTAATTTGCAATTCAAATCAAGTGCTTTCTGTGTAATAAAGTTAAAAGGCAATGAATGTATGTTATATAAAAGGTGCTTCATCTAAACCAGTGTTTCCCAACGTTTTTCGGCTTAGGTACCCCCACAGCACCATCAAAAAAACTCATCCATGTACTTCATCCACACCAAACCAGAAATGTGTTCATTTTAACTCATAACATACTGGATTCTTTTATACTATGATTAATATAATTCACTAATTTAATATAACATCTACTTGGTGTAAAAATTATACTTAATAAATAGCAAATATATTCTTCTACAAGTTTCATCCAGACAATTGTAGTTTTCTTTGTAAAAAGGAACTGAGATTAATTGGCTTAATAAAGTAATAAGCTCCAACAAGCCATGGTTTACAGTGAATTTATAACAGCTAAGGAGCGTTGATAGGCACGACGCAAAGCGTAAAATGGTTATTCCATATACGTAGTAAGGTTTCACAAAATAAAACAGAGCAAATGAAGTGTAATGATATTAACAAAAACATTATTCTTCCGACAAACAATGTAGTTCCTCAGAATCGGTTGTGGACACAACACACAAACGTAAACAAAGGTGTATGTTTGTAGAGTAATTTACAACAGCTTAGAACGTGGCTCAGCCAATCAGAATCAAGGACCGGAACGATCTGTTTTTTAATTGTCATTTTTTTATCTGTTTAACCCTTGATAACCTTGTATTTTAAAATGAAAATATCTGCAAAAAAGCAAAAACAAAGCAAAACCTAAATATTTCCAAATACCCCAGTAACCTGCTTAACTGTGCGCAACCTACGTGTATAACAACTGGCAAAACAAAAATTGCAAAACTGAAATCTTTCTAAATACCCCAGAAACCTGCTTAAAGGTACGTATTCTTTATAACAAGTTATACAAATATAAATAATATTAAACAAAAAAGTTATAAAATATTAATAATGTAATAATGACATACAGATATATTTTATTTTAGTGTTATTATATTAATATTATAATAATTATATCAGTTGCCTTTAAAAAACATTTAATAAACGTTAAAACATTTCCCCCTTTTTTTTACACATGAAAATGTCAAGATAAGATACACGTTACAACTCTGTGTGATGTGGTGAGCTCACCTGGTTATGCTTGATGTCATCACCAGGAGACATGTAAGCACCTCTGAACAGTGTAGATGTTCCACTGGAGATTTGGGCTACAGAGACAGTGAATTATAAAGATTGACTTTTTCTATTGCTACAGAAAATGTTGACATGAAACAGGTGTGCAGGTATATGATTACAGTTCATGACTTTTGTTGAGGTAAAAGACTTCACACAGAAGCAAAGGAGAAATATCAGACACTATTCTGTGGAATAAACCTGTTACACTGTTACTTTCACTAATTACAACTCTCTCATGTAATTCACTGGCTTTATTTGGTGGTTTGTCTGTCAGTCATATATGGAAGCTTTAACCTTCCTGTGGCCTTACCTGCCATGGCGTCTTTTCTGGAGGTGTGCTCACCCTTGTTTCCATGGTAACCAGAATTGGTTCCAGTTGACTCATAGTCTGTCTTCCTCTCCTTCAAGCTCATCATTTCTCGAGGGGAGGTGGGGGCACTTGCTAAAAAACACAGCAAGTCAACCAATAATGAGTGAGAGGGGAAAAACAGCCTGTTTGTTTAGGCAAAAGTATCTTGACACATTTGAAAGCACAATAAGATCTCATTCCATCAAGGGATATTTTATTTTACATAAAAAACTCACTTATTGTAATTAAACAATTCTCTTGTTGACTTTTGAGGCAAACAAGTGTCAGAGCTCTCCTCCTAATTGCTCAATGGAATTGGTCAGGTAATTGATTGGTTTTATCTGGGCTTCTTACTCATTCCTTCAGCAATAATTTATTTCACCTTTCTTGTCAGCTTTGTGTTTAGCAAAGCTTTGGTTAGTTTAAATAAACCTGTCTATATGCTTTCTGTCAGAAAGTGAGATCCAAGTATTTCTACCAGGTGACTCTTAAAAAAACCTTTATAAATGTGATTAACCAAATATTTTATTAACAGATTACTGCATAGTTCATGCACATTCAAATTAAAAACATTAAAGTTTAACAAAATTATATTATATTATATTATGTTTTATATTAATATATAGATTTGTTGGAGAGGAAATTTGACAACTCAAAATATAACATAACTGTTGTAATTTTAGTAAAACTGCAATAATTGTTTACCCATTAAATACTGAAATGGATTTGAATTATTTCACACTTTGTTCAGATTATCATAATTAAAACAAACGTATTATTTTATTATTATTTTTAGTATTTCATGATGAATTTTCATATAGTTTCAGAGTCGAACAAGGGCAAGGGTAAAACAATAACATTTATACATAGAAGGCTACTGAAAAGTATCAAAATGTAATAATAAAAACGTTTACAGAGTTTTAATGTGACCTTCACATAACAAAAAGCTAAATGAAATCTGTTGATGAAACCCCTGGGACATACAAGTGAAGTGTACAGAGTTGATGAAACACCCAATAACGTCCTCAGTAATTCAAGAAAAGATTATTTTACAAGACATACTTAACGTGTCATCATTTAATGATTTCGGTGTTAATGAATCAGCCCTTAATGAAAGATTCTGTGTTTTATCTATTTTTAAGCCTGACTTTGTTGGCTGGTATACGGTCTATGCTAGATGGCCATCTTAATTACAAATGTATTCATTTTTATTTCCCCGAGAAATTACAAATTGCACAATTTAAAAGGTGTGAGATTCTCATTTGGGATAGTTCCCCACCACATTCTCCCAAGCAGCAGGTAGAATAAATATGCCTCCTCTTTGTTTGTCCCATGATAGGTGAGGACATTATGAGCATTTAATATTCAGGTTGCCTCTAGACTACATTCGAATAAACATAATGAGAATTCTGAATAAAGATTTATAACAGACTGGAGATGATGTAGCACTATTAATACAGGCATAAAATGAGTTCAAAAGCAGAATTTACTAAAATAAACTTTGATATCTGAAACACAACTAGAGAACAGTTGTAAACAAAGCGTGTTAATTAAGCAGAACAGACTCTTCTATAGCGCTGTGTAATTAGGATACGCATGGCGCCCCCTGACTGACAGTACTGTATCAGTTTGAAATGGGCAAATATCAGGATGAACCCTGATCTTGACAGCTGTGTTCCCTCTATGATCACATAACAGCATAAGCAGGGTGTGAACTACGGGGGAGCTAGAGGGAGCTCGGCTCCCCTTAATAAGACATGGGCTCCCCTGAAAATGTGATTTGTGAAATTTTGGGGGGTCTCAAAAAATATTGACAATGTGTTAATTTGACGTGCAATTTCAGTTTTGTGTAATGTGATCATCGTGGATTATTATGTGTAAAATTGCAAAAATATCATTCATTCATGCATGACGGCGATTTAAACCTAATTCACTTCAATAAAGATAACTATACATGCTATTCTTGTCATGAGCATCAAGGTGTGGGGGCGCTGCGGTGCAAATTCCACTCATGTTTAGTACATGTTAACTTGAAGATTCGTAGAAAAAATATAAACGTTGGACTCTGTGGGCGATTCTGTGTTAAGGTAAGGCATGTTATTCACAATTATGTGTTGTGGCTGGGTAGTTATAGGTCTGCGTGACTCTCGATGTCTTAGGCCTAATTATGGTATTCTTCTGTAGCCTGAAGACGAGTAACTTTAACCGTTGTTCATGTGAACTCAAAGACAGCCTGATGCTTTGTATATAGACTATTTGTAGGTGGCTGTTTGTTGTTTCACCTATCAATTCCTGTCGATAAAGTATAATAGGGTAAATCATGTATGGTGATTTATCTTATATAGTGCTTGCATAAAGCTAGTAGTGCATACACTTGTAGCTGTTATGTATCTTTGTAA